TCGCGAAGCGTGGCGAAACCAGTTCGAGCGAGTAACTCGACTCGCCGGAGCGCAGCACGAGACGACAACGGCGACGACGCAGCAGTCGCAGCAGTTTCTCGAGGCTCCGAAACCGCGCCCACCTGAGCCGTTCGATCCGAGCGATCGAAACTCCGACGCCCGCAGATGGATCGCCGGGATGGAGATCTACTTCGCAGCCGTCGGATGGAGCTCGCCAGTCTGGGACGGTCAACGTGTACGACTCGCGGCGACACTGATGCGAGGGCCGGCACTCGAGTGGATTGGCGGCAACAGTACTTTCATCCACGGTGAAGCCACGTGGCAGCAGTTCCGCGCCGACCTGCTGAAACGCTTCGAGCCGATAAATTCAGGTTTCCTTGCCCGCGAAAAAATTCATCGCCATCGACAGTTCGGGAGTGTAGCACAGTACACGCAGCAGATGGAAGAATTTTATAACCGCATTCCCGACCTGACCGAAGGGGAAAAAGTGCAATCGTACCTCGCAGGGCTGAAGACCGAAGTCAAACGACAAGTCGCAGCGTCAAACTACGCGAGCTACAGTGACGTCGTTTCGGCCGCGGAGCGCTTCGACATGGTCAACGCCGGAACACGACGGACGCACGTCGGCAGTACGCGACAGGGCGACCGCTCGGCTCACACCACGTTCGCCGACCCGATGGAAGTCGACAGATTCGAGGGGCGGCCACGTCCGAAAAACACCAACTACACGCGTGATTTTTGCGGGGTGCCGGGCCACCGAATCTTCGACTGCAACAAAATGAAGGCCGCACGCGCAGAGTATCGGGCACGCAACAGTGGCGGAAATCTTTCGGCCAATCAGAAGACAAAAAACGGGAGTCGCCAGTGATTGCGGATCTAGCTGGCGAAAATAAAAAGATCCGAAAACGGCCGCGGGATTCCAGAAAAATCGACTTCGACGAAGCGGATTCGACGCGAGAAGGAGGAAATGATGGGGGAAAATCTCCACCCCACGACCAGTCTTCGCCAGGGAAAATCGCCGAGAAAAAATACGACTCCGCGAAAAAAGACTCTGCCGAGACAGGGAAACTCCTTGAAGACCCAAGAAATTATAAGAATTCGTTAAAGTTATCTTACAAAGATGCTTTAATGAAAACTTATAATGTTCGAGGGGCTAGAGCCTTGGAGAAATTTCGGGAGGGACTCCAAAAGAAGCAGACATCTGTGGAGATTATACCGGTACCGGACAACCTGGGGACCAAATTAAGGAGTGTGGAAAGAAGCCGACCTTTCCACGGAGTCAACGTCCTCTCCCGACACCAGCCCACAACGACTACCCGCTCCCCAGGGAAGACGTCGGTGGAGCTGAAGCAGCTCAAGAGGAAGCTGGGGGTCTACAAGAAGTTGCACAAACCCCGAACTCCTTCTACGGATGCATCCAGTTCTTCGGCATCAGTAACGCGCACAGTCGTCAAAGAAACTCCGGGCCCTGGAGAAGAGCCGTTCTCCAAGCAGCCTCGGCCAGCTGCTAGCTCAGGAGCAGATAGCAACGAAAAGGTGTGTATGGATTATTGGGATGTACCCTATGACCCCATTAATGAAACCATCTTTGGGTACTCCGAGCAACGCCCGCCTCTCGTGCTCGAGGTCATCTGCAAAGGACGACGCCTCCAAGCACTTGTGGACAGCGGAGCGTCTCACACTGTCTGCAACAAGGCAACAATTGACCGACTTCGGGAAGAGTACAAGCCTTCGGGATTCTCTGCAACGATGGTGGATGGCAGCAAGTTACCAGTACACGGCGAAGCAGTGTTACACCTACAAATTGGACCACTGCGCTGGAGACCTGCACTCCCCATCACCAACATCAAAGGGCTTGACTTGATCTTCGGGCGAGACTTCCTGAAAAGATTCAACCCCGAGATCAACTGGGTGAACCGCACCGCAAGCATCTACAACAATGGACGGAGAGTACAGCTACCCAACTAGGACGATACTGGAGATATCCCAGTGGAGACACTCGCACGATTCGAGAAGGACGTGAAGCGGACCAACACCGGGTTCCTGGCGATAGCAACAGAGGTGGAGAATGACAGAGAGAAAGCCTCGGAAACTCCAGAAAAAATCAAGGAATTACTGAAGGAGTTCTAAGACATTCTTCCTGACGATCTTCCGAACGAGCTACCGCCATACCGAACGCATCAACACGAGATCGTGGAGGAACCGGGTTCGAAGCCGACCTTCCGAGCACCATATCGGCTCAGCCCTACGGAGCTGACTGACATGAAAAAACAGATCGAGTATCTCCTAGCCAAAGGACTCATTCGGCCATCCACTTCGCCGTACGGTGCCCCAGTACTCTTCACACCGAAACCGGACGGAAGCCTGCGCATGTGCATCGACTACCGAGCCCTTAACAAGCAGACCATCAAGAATAAATATCCGATACCGCGAATCGATGACCTGCTTGACCAGCTTCGGGGAGCTACGGTATTTTCCAAACTGGATCTGCGGTCCGGATACTGGCAGATACGGATGGCGGACAACTCTATCCACAAAACTGCTTTTCGAACTCGGTATGGATCGTACGAGTATTTGGTAATGCCGTTCGGACTCACCAACGCGCCGGCAACATTCCAAGCCGAAATGAACCACATTCTACGACCACTTCTGGACGAATGCGTGGTGGTGTACCTGGATGACATACTCATCTACTCGCGCGACATGAAGCAGCACGTCGAACACCTGCGACGCGTCTTCGAAATTCTTCGACGGAAACGATTCTACGTCAAACTGTCCAAGAGCGAATTCGCCCTTGAAAAGGTCCAATTCCTAGGACACATGGTGAGCGCTTAAGGAGTTCACGTCGACCCCAAGAAAATCGAAGCCGTACGTACGTGGAAGACACCCGAGAACGTGAAGGAGTTGCAGCAGTTCCTAGGCTTCGCTAATTACTACAACAGGTTCGTGCCACAATATGCGAAACTCGCGGCACCACTCACGAATCTGCTGAAGAAGAACACGCCCTACAAATGGGAGCCGAAGCACCAGGAAGCCGTGGAGCAACTGAAACAAGCACTGACATCCGCACCGGTACTCATCTTGCCAGATCCCGAACGTGACTACGTCATTGAAGCAGACGCCAGTGATCAGGCCGTGGGTGCAGTCTTAATGCAAGACCAGGGGAATGGACTGCAACCAATTGCCTACCTCAGCAAGAAACTGCACGGGGCAGAACTCAACTACCCGATACACGACAAAGAGGCTCTTGCTATCATCATCGCCTTCAAAGCGTGGAGATGCTATCTCGAAGGACGAAGAACGACCGTCTACACCGACCACTGCAGCCTGAAATATTTGAAGACACAACCCAACCTTTCCAGGCGGCAGGTCCGGTGGATCGACTTCCTCGAGACACACTTCCACTACGACATCGTGTACAAGCCCGGCCACAAGAACAAAGCAGACGCTCTCAGCCGGCCTGCACACGTTGCCGCGATTCAGGTCGAAGGGATGAATCCACTACTCAAGGGACTCTTCACCCACGGGTACGCCATCGACCCCGAAATTCCCTTGGCAGAAAAGCGACATCTGCTACAGTGGGACAGTGACATCGCGTACCGGAAGGGATCCACAAAAATCTGGGTACCCAATTACCCTCCTTTGCGCCAGTTACTACTCGAAGAATACCACGACGTCCTGTACGCCGGACACTTCGGTAGCAACAAAACGCTCACCGGTATCGCCAAACACTACTACTGGCCCCATATGGCAGACGACGTCCAGAAATTCGTCACCTCGTGTGATACATGTCAGCGGATGAAGAGCAGCAAGCAGAAAAAGGCGGGACTACTGCAGCCTCTTCCTGTCCCAGAACAACCATGGCAAGTGGTTAGCCTGGACTTCATCACAGGGTTACCACCTACGACCACCGGTCATGACGCGATCCTCGTCGTCATCGACAAATTCTCTAAGATGGGACACTTCATCCCGACACACACGACGGCACGCACCGAGGAGACAGCACAACTCTTTGTTCGCTACATCATCTCACAGCATGGCATTCCAACAACACTCATCTCCGACCGAGACCCCAAGTTCACCAGCAAGTTCTGGAAGGAACTCATGTCTCTGCTCGGTACCAAACTCGCCATGTCATCTGCATACCATCCGCAGACAGACGGACAGACCGAGCGCCTTAACCAGATTGTTGAGCAACTCCTCCGAGCAGCCTGCAAGGACGAGATCTCCAAATGGGACTTGCACCTGCCCGTCCTCGAGTTCGCCTACAACAACGCTACACACGCCGCTACGGGACAGACGCCGTTCTTCCTCTGCTACGGACGCCACCCACTCACACCACAGAAACCGACAACACCAGCAACAGTCCAACCTGCACACGACTTCATCACAACTATGCATCAGCTTTGGGATCGGACCCACAAGCGCCTACTCGACATTCAACAGCAACAAAAGCGCCAAGCCGATCGCCATCGCAACGATCACACCATCACGGTAGGAGACCAGGTGCTTCTTGACACCCGCAACCTGGACATCAGCCATCTCCCATCTAAACTTCGACCTCGCTTCTGCGGGCCTTTCCTCGTTGAAGCACAGGTCACCCCTGTTACCTTCCGCTTACGCCTTCCAGCTACCTGGAAGATTCACAACGCCTTCCATGTCCAACTGCTGAAGCCCTATCGGGATCCTAATATGATCTTCGTCGGACGCCAACCGCCGCCGCCGCCGCCCGTCCTCGTCCAAAATGAACCCGAGTACGAGGTCCGTGCTTGCACACCGCCGTCGTCGGAATGGCACCGTGGAGCTTCTTATCCGTTGGAAGGGTTATGATCCTTCTGAGGATAGCTGGGTATTTGAGACCAACATGGGTAGCAGCACCAGCAGCAGCCACAGCAGCAGCAGCAGCAGCCACTGCAGCAACCTCATCGGCATCGCCGCACCACCTCTCCGTTCATCCTCCCACGCTGGGGTTGAGAGAAGGCGGGCCTCAGCGTCAATGATCCATTGGACCACAGTGTCAAGGGAGGCGCGGGGCTGAGCCTCAGTGAAGGCAATGACGCGCACTTCATATTGAGGGGAGAGGCCTTCGAGGAGACGGTAGATCTGAAGGTTGGGGGGGAGAGTAGTCTGGCGAGCCTCAAGGCGGGAGGCAAGGTCCAGGAGACGGCTGGTGTAGTCAACGGCGCCAGCACTATGTTCGATCGTGATGCTGAAGTATTCCTTGAAGAGCGGTCCGACAGCATCGAAGTCAGTGCGTTCGAACATTGCCTCAAGCTCGAGCCAGATCTGGCGGGAGCCGATGCGACGTGCCTGGAAGTTGCGCATGAGCGCAGACGGGATGGCAAGGAGAAGGGCACCAGTAGCACGGCTGTCCGCCTCGAGCCAGGCGCGACGACGCTCAGCAAATCGCGCAGAGTCAGCGGCATAAGCGGCGGCGGTAGCGGCATGCTGGGTGCGGAGGGTTGCCGACCGCTCGTGTTCCTCCAACGCGATCAGGTAATCAGTATGGAGCACGAGGAACTCACGACGCTGAGTAACGAAGAGCTGCTCAACTTCAGCGGTGGCAGCGCGAGTGCTGGTGCCAACGGGTACTATGGGGGGCGAAGGTTCCTCGCCGGGATGGGGAATGAGAGGGGGGGGATCGCCAGGGTGAGGCGGCGGGTCCCCAAGGTCACCCTCTAGGAGACCAAGCATGATGTCCAGGAGGCGGAACGGCAGGACATAAGCACTGCCGAGGACGCGGTGGAGGCTGCCGACGAAGGAATACCAGTTGGTTGCTGAGTTGTCGGCAGCGCGCACGAGATGATCGAGGGTCGAGACGTCGACGGGAGGGGGAAAGGATGACATTGGTGACACGGAGTGGGAGGAAGGCGACGGCGGGTGGACCCGCGGTGGCCGGGAGGGAGCGGCGGCGGGTGGACCCGCGGCGGCTCAAAGAGGAGGGGAGGATGGGGATGGCTGTAGATACTGCTGCTGCTGCTGCTGCTGCTGCTGCTCCTTCTGCTGCTGCTGCTGTTGCTGTTGCTGCTGCTGCCGCTGCTGCTGCTGCCACTGCTGCTGCTGCCGCTGTTGCTGCTGCTGCTGCTGCTACTCCTTCAGCTGCTGCTGCTGCTGCTGCTGAGTCTGCTGCTCCTTCTGGTGCTGCTGCTGCTTCTGCTGCTGCTGCTACGGCTGCAGCAGTGGTAAGGCGACGATGAGCAGGTGCAGGTGAGGAGGCAAAAGATGGGGAAAGATGGCAGTTAGCTGATGAAAATAGGACTCGGTAGAAATTTCAGTAGCACTTCGTGATCACATCCAAGAAAGTGTGCAAACTTCGGAAAGCGATATCTGACAATCCAAGCAATGAAACAGTCCGAAATTTTACGACGTTGTAGCTGACACCAAGAGCGTTCTTTTGCAAGTCGAATCACTCAATTCTGTCAACTATCGAGCGAGCTATGGCGTTTGGCGCATTGGGGGTTTTTGAAAATCCACCCAACAGAAAACTAGTTGAGAGGCGGCGGCTAGGAGTCTAGCAGCGGCGATGGAGGGGACGGCAATGAGGTGCACGTCGGAAGGGGACGGGGCGGAAGCGTGGGGAAGGATCGGGATTTAAAAGTTGGCGTGAGCCATTATTGCTCTATACCATGTTAGAAACAGAAAGGTTTAGTTTATTGATGAAGGAAAGGCATTACATAGGAAGAGAGAGATGAGCTAGGAAGGGAAGGTTGGAAGGGAAGGGGGGGTTAGGACCAATCACAAGGGAGGGAGGATCCTTCCAAATGTGGTTGACCACCAGTTGGAGGTGGTCCAAGTGTGGTGTACCACCAGTGGTTTAGCCAACCCACTTGTGGTGCCCCCACAATTGTGGTCCTTGTGTTTGGGGGCTCCAACCACAATTGGGTTGGATTGACACCCCAACACAGGTGTACACCCAACTAGGGATGTAAACACAATATACACAACTAGCATAGCATGGTATATTCTAACACATGCTCCAACTACAAGGCTTGGCGCTATGGTGTCGACAAGCACCTCCTCAGTCGCGAGGTGAAGGGGCTCGAGCTCACCGACGTCCTTCTCAACATCGGTGACGGCAAAGAGCCTCCTAAACCCGAGAGGTCCGCCGATCCAGCTAATGCCGCCGCCGAAGCAGTTTATGCTGCTGCACTGCTCAAGTACAAGAATTGGGAGAAGGCCGATGGTGCGGTCATTAGTGTCTTCATGGGCACCACTCCTCCCGAACTCGTCGAAACCTACCACAACTACCCGTCTGCCAACGCCATTTGGCTCTACCTCAAGGATCGCTTCCTGAACAAGACTGCAGTGGGAGTTGCTATACTCATCCCCAGCATGTTCCAAGTGCGGCTCGAGGACTCGCCAGGCATGGCGGGCTATGTCACCAAGGTGGAGTCCATTCATGGTGAACTCAAACAGTTGGGGATAGTCTTCCCCGAGCAAGCCCCTGCAGCCGCTCTCGTAGTCGGCCTCACTCCAGCATACGAAGTCACACGCAAGATGCTCTTGGGCCTTGCTCCTGCAGACCTCACATTTGCCAAGGTCTCATCCGCGCTCCTTTCTGCCGAAAAGGACAACAGCGCTCAAGCCAAGGCCAATGCAATCCGCGCTCCCGTGCCTCAAGCCTATGCCGCTTCGGTGCCATTCCAGTGCAAGCGCTTCCCCCCGTGTCCCTACATCATCAAGCGCGGCCCTCGTGCTGGCCAGGTGTGTGGCGGCACCAACCACGCCCTTGCCTCCTGCTTCAAGAAAAAGGATGACGAGTGGTATGCCGTCAATGGGACCGCCTCCAAGCCGCCAAGCTGGATGGTCAATCGTGCTCCTCGCCAAGTCAATCAAGTTGAAGTGCAGGAATCCGTGCAGGCTGCTGTAGCTGCTGTTGGTTAGAGAAGGCTATAAGCAGATGTTTCAGTGGCTCCTTGGACTTTCTGCAGCACTTCGTTATGACGCCCAGAAAACTCGCGACCTTCGAATAGCTATATCCAAAACTCCAATCGGTGAAACGATCTGAAAATTGGATATGTTGTCGCTGGCAGCGTCAGCTTTTCAATGAAAGTTGAATCACTTGATTCCGTAGCTTAACGAGTGAGCTATGGCGTTTGGCGCACTGGGGGGTAATCTGCCCTAGGAGAAGTTGACAGTCCTCAGAGTCACTATAATTGAAGCTTACAAGATCATACGCATGATAGAAAAGGCATTGAAGGACAGTTGGAAGGTGGGGTAGGAAGGGAAGGATGAAAGGGAAGGACCCTGGAGGCCCATGGTCAAGAACATGACAAGAGTCAAAGTTTTGACTCCCCATCCTCAGGTTCAGCCAGCCTGGCAAGACAAAATTCACACTGTGCCAGGTTGGCCTCCAAACCCCAAATGCTGCAGCTGCAAGGTGGGGACAAAAGTCCCACACATGCTAGTCCCTCCTCGTTATAGGGCTCTCCAACTTTGGTGTAGCAGCTGACAAGGACTTCCAATGAGTTGTAACAAATCCATCAAACATTTCTTCGTAACTTCTTTATATGTGCTCCGATTCCAACAATTCTTGGCTCGTTGGAATGTGCTCGATGTCATGCACAATCCAAGCACATCTGCACAAGCACAAGATGAACATGCAAAGACATGCAAACCCAACAAACCATACAAACAACGTAGCACACAAAACACATGCAAACGAAATGATGCGAACAGACGACAGGATGACGTGCAAATGAATATGCACCAACACACTCCCCCTCAGACTGTCGGCTTGTTTCGCCGTCTCTAGTTCAAGGACATTCCCGCCATCCTCGCACAGCGCCAGTGTGGCTCTTCAGCTAGCCGCTTGGTAAGGAAGTCGGCTGGCTGTTGCTGAGTTTTCACGTAGATCGGATCCAGTGTCCCAAGCTTCACCTCCTTCCGCAGCCAATGCCACTTGATCCTCATGTGCTTGTTCAACCCATGAAGAACTGCATTGCGTGCCATGGCAATGGCTCCCTTGCTATCACTGAACAGAGGTGTCGCACAAGTCTGTTCATGGCCGATCTCCTTCAAGAGCCTCCTTAGCCAGATGATTTCTTTTGCCGCATGAAACATCGCCATGTACTCAGATTCCACTGAAGATAGTGCCGTCTCAGACTGCTTCTTGGACCTCCAACTTACAGGCCCACCTCCCACCATGCAGATGTATCCACCAACTGATGATGAATCCTCATGCTCAGAAGCCCACGTGGCATCAGCAAAACAGGAAAGGAACACCTTTCCTTCTCCGAGCTGCTCCCCCTTCTCTTTGAGGACTTCAATTCCTTTTTGACTGAGTTGAGCAGAGGCTGAATACTGTACTCCCACTGTAGGGTATGACTTGAGGTAGCGCACCACTCTCTCCGCTGCACCACACTGCTCTTCTGTTGGATTTTGCACTACTCGAGCCAGCTGTCCCACAGCAAAGCTGATGTCAGGCCGAGTATGCACAGCAGCGTAGAGTAGGCTCCCGACCATGGATTGGAATTGCCTCTGGTCTTCACTCTCAACTCCTTCTCCTTCAGCTGCCTTTATGAGTTTGAACTCGGAAGGCAAAGGTGTGACCACTTCCCGTTCTTCCTGCAGAGAGTACTTCTCAGCCAAGGTGTTGATGTACTGTTCCTGATGCAGTTTGAGCCAGCCACGTTCAGTATCCCGCTCAATATGCATTCCCAGGTAGTACCTTGCCTCTCCAAGTGACTTGCACTTGAACTGCTCTGTGAGCTTCCGCTGCACCCCATCGATCTCCTTGTCACTGCTGCTGAAGAGCAGGATGTCATCCACGTACACCAGCAGAAGCACAAGTGACTCCCCCTCTCCCATCAGGAACAGGCTCTTGTCGCATGCACTCGCACGGAATCCAATCCCTTCCAGTGCACTGGCCAGCCTGTTGTACCAGCATCTCGGGGCCTGCTTCAAGCCATAGATGGGCTTGTTAAGTTTGCAGACACGACCGGTTCCATCCTCATAGCCAGGTGGTTGAACCATGTACACCTCCTCTTCCACAATGCCGTACAGAAAAGCGGTTACGATGTCCATCTGCTTCACCTTCCATTTGCGCACAGCAGCTACCGCCAGCAGCACACGTAGCGTTGGAGACTTAGCAGTTGGGGCAAACACTTCTTTGTAATCTTCCTTCTCTTTCTGCTGAAACCCCTTTGCCACCAGCCTGCTCTTGTAAACTGATGGCTCTCCTTTCTCATCCGTCTTGATTTTTGCCAGCCACTTGCACTGTATTGCCTTCTTCCCATTTGGCAAGTACACCAGGTCCCATGTGTGATTCTCCATCTGGCTTTTGTACTCTGCATCTCTTGAAACGAGCTACTTCCCCCGTTGAGGCCCGGCTAGCGCATGATCCATGCTCGGAGGTTGTATTGGTGCGTAAAAGCAGTATGCAGGCTCCTCGTCATCTGACTCTTGGTCATCACCCAAGAACAGCACTGCATCTTCGCCTTGAGCCTGTTCCTGCTGCTCAGTTGTGGCTCCTCCACTTGTGGAGCTCAACAGCTTTCTCGTTGCCATTCTGGTACGTGCAGGGTAGATGGTTGGATTTACCCATTCTTTCACCTTCACCCAATCCTTTGTCCCCCCACCAATCTGTTTCCTTCGCTTTGGCAGACTTGGTGTTTTGGAAGCCTCTTGCTGCTGCTGCTCCGGATCATTGACTTCAGCATCAGCTGCAATATCCTCATTGCTTCCTTCATCAGTACCGCTTGCCGTTGGCGCAGTGACTTCGCTGTCCGCAGGTTCGGACAGATCGAAGTGCATAGTGATCTCTTCCAGCTGCTGGGTGACCCTTGCCTCCGGCTGCTTCTCCCACTTGCCATACATGATGTTCTCCACAAATTTGACATCCCGACTGTCAAACAGCACATTCTTTGAGGGCTCCCAGAGTAGCCACCCCTTGCTCTCTGCCGCAAGCCCAAGGTGCACACACCAAAGTGCAGATGCTCCAAGCTTTGTCCTGTACGGTTTAGGGACATGCGCCATTGCCATGCATCCGAACACTCGAAGCATGCCCACTGGAGGCTTCTTTCCAAGCCACCTCTCCAGCGGCACCCACATATCATCAGCCACCTTTGTGAGTACGCGGTTCCTTGCCACTGTAGCATGCCTCACCGCATGAGGCCACATGGAGTTCCCCAGCCCTGATTTGATCAGCAGCGCTCGCGCAGTTTCCAGGATGGTCCTATTAGCCCTCTCAGCAATGCCATTTGACTGAGGGGTATAGGACGTCGTTAGCTGATGCTCAATGCCTTGTTTCTTGAGCCACGCAGTCAGATCTCCTCCTAGAAACTCTCCACCTCGGTCGGTTCTGATGCTCTTGCATGGGTGCCCAGATTGTCGCTCGATGAACGGCAGCCAATCATCTCGTATTGTTGAGGCAGCATGATCCTTCTGCTTCAACGGGTATGCCCACATCAGCCGACTCCAGTCATCAACTATTGTCAGGAAGTACCTTTCCCCCTTACTTCCTCGGACTGGAAAAGGTCCTACGAGGTCCATGTGCACCAGTTCCAGTGCTGCCTTGCTTTTCCCAGCTACGCCGTGAAAGGGGAACCGTGTGAACTTGCTCAGCAGACACGTCTCGCACTTGGTATCATTTGGTTGCCCAGAAAGCTTGAGCCCCTTTACTGCTTCTTCCTTATGCAGTTGCTGCAGCAATGGCATAGCCACATGCCCTAGACGCCTGTGTGCGGTTTCCCAATCAGTCTCCCCCGACCTTGCAGAAACCGTCACTCCTGCAGCACTAACTGCATTACACTCCCCCTGGACTCCAGAACCCGCCTTTACTTCTCCCAACTCCTTCTTTGTTGATTCCCATATCAGTGCAGGGATCTGCCACATGGATCTGAAGACATCTCTGCTTTCGTGTAAATCCCATAACACACGATCTCCTCGCAGCCCCTTGAATGTTTTGGATCCATTGGTGGTGGTGCTGACTCCGGCCTGGCCTAGCTTGCGCAGCGATATCAGATTGGCCTTCAGCCCCGGTACGAGTAACACGTCCTTCAGCACAACCAGTCCACCATCAGGTGCTCTGAATGCAGCTCGACCAACTCCAGCGACCTTCACTGCATGTCCGGATGCTGAGCGCACTTCAGAGATTGGAGGCGCTTGCACAGCATCCAGCAAGTCCTTACGTGGTGTCATTGTCCATGCAGCACCAGAGTCCATGACCCACATGTCAAGCGGGTGCAATTCCTCTCCAGCCCTTGCAACAGCTGTGCCACTGTCATCTTTGTCACACACATGGTAGAACTGTCCAGCATTCCTCTCCTCATTTCCCATTCCTCTGTCATCCTTGGAGGTTTCTTCAGCAGGATCAGCTACCATGTTGGCACCTCCATGTGGTTGCTTTCCTCCATTCCCCTTCTGCGATTGGTTCCAAGGGGTCCACCAGTCGGGCTTGGTAGAGCAGCGAAACCATGGATGCCCTTCTTCCTTGCAATACCAGCACTCTCCCCTCAAGCGTGGTTCACTGTTGTCATAGTTGGAGTGACCACCTCTTCCTCTTGCACCAGCACCACCACGCCCCCGCTGGTTCCAAGTCCCGCGACCACCTTGGCTGTGGTAAGAGCGACCGCGATTGCCACGCCCTCGATCCCTCCATGTCCCTTGCATGGCATAGCCGCTGGTGCTGTCATCACCTCCGCGCAGTGTATAGCGACGAAAATCTTCTTCCAGAATCTTGGTGCGAATCCACTCCAATGTCCATTGACTTTGGTTTTGTGGCAAGCTGAGTCCGCTTATAAATTGCAGCCAAGACTCCGGCAGCAGGCTGAGCATCTTGAGACACTTTGTCTGCTCTGGGTACGTGATGCCTGCAATCGCCAATTTCGCGTAGAGTTCCCTCATCTTGTCCAGTACGGGCTGCACAGGTTCATTCTCGCTCAACCGCAGCATGGACAGCTCCCGATCCAGCATGAGAGAAGCGGCAACCGATGTCGGAGCGTGCAGGTCCTTGAGCACTGCTCATGCCTTGGGCCCACAATCAATTTCCGGTAGCAGATGCATGATGTGATGCCTCTGGTTCAGCTCCAAGCTTTGTGACAGTAGATAATACCCAGCAGATGAACGTTCATCCCAGTCCGCTTGCTCTGCCATTTCCTTTGGCCTTGGCTCCATTCCAATCATGAGCTTCAAGAGGCCAATTTGTCGAAAGTAGAGCTGCATCTTCCATGCCCAATCATCATAGCCATCTCCAGAGAACTTCTCAATGGTGAAGTTCTTCAGCACCTCCTTAAGCAGTGACCCCTGGCTTGTACGCGCTCCCCTTTGCGCTGCAATGCCAGAATCTTGGGTTGAGCTGCCTCCTTGGACTGAAGTATCACCTCCACCAGAGTCCTCCTTATCTCCCATCGTATTTTAGGTCCCAAATGCGTGATAATAGGCTCTGATACCACTTGTTGGTTAGAGAAGGCTATAAGCAGATGATTCAGTGGCTCCTTGGACTTTCTGCAGCACTTCGTTATGACGCCCAGAAAACTCGCGACCTTCGAATAGCTATATCCAAAACTCCAATCGGTGAAACGATCTGAAAATCGGATATGCTGTTGCTGGCAGCGTCAGCTTTCCAATGAAAGTTGAATCACTCGATTCCGTAGCTTAACGAGTGAGCTATGGCGTTTGGCGCACTGGGGGGTAATCTGCCCTAGGAGAAGTTGACAGTCCTCAGAGTCACTATAATTGAAGCTTACAAGATCAGACGCATGATAGAAAAGGCATTGAAGGACAGTTGGAAGGTGGGGTAGGAAGGGAAGGATGAAAGGGAAGGACCCTGGAGGCCCATGGTCAAGAACATGACAAGAGTCAAAGTTTTGACTCCCCATCCTCAGGTTCAGCCAGCCTGGCAAGACAAAATTCACACTGTGCCAGGTTGGCCTCCAAACCCCAAATGCTGCAGCTGCAAGGTGGGGACAAAAGTCCCACACATGCTGGTCCCTCCTCGTTATAGGGCTCTCCAACTTTGGTGTAGCAGCTGACAAGGACTTCCAATGAGTTGTAACAAATCCATCAAACATTTCTTCGTAACTTCTTCATATGTGCTCCGATTCCAACAATTCTTGGCTCGTTGGAATGTGCTCGATGTCATGCACAATCCAAGCATATCTGCACAAGCACAAGATGAACATGCAAAGACATGCAAACCCAACAAACCATACAAACAACGTAGCACACAAAACACATGCAAACGAAATGATGCGAACAGATGACAGGATGACGTGCAAATGAATATGCACCAACAGCTGCACCTGCTGATGTGCGCCTCAACATGTTGTTCCCTGGCACTGCCATGATTAATGAGACGATTTCGCAGTATCCTGGCTCACAAAGCACCTCAGCCACAATAGAGTTCACCCTCGACAGTGGGGCCACTCACACGGTTCTCAAGGAAGAACACTCCTTCAAGCCATACGAGACACCAATCCGTCTACTTGGAGCAGACTCCAGTTTCACAACACACGCCAAGGGCTCCTCCACAGTTCCGTGCCCAGCTTTTTCTTCGGGCAGTGTGACTGGCATGTGTGTTCCCACACTACGCCACAATCTCGTGGCCCAACACGAGCTCCAACGGGCAGGCGTCACCACGATCTTCCCAGCACACTCGGATCACTGTGACCTCTTCGACCCTAAGTCCAACAAGCTCCTAGCACGCTTCACACTCAACAGTAGCAAGCTCTACACGCTGCGTTCACCTGCACCTCTCGTCGCCCTCTCCCAAGCGCAAGCTGCCAGCACCACTCCGTGTTCGTATCGCAGCTTCGCCAACCCAACCATCCTCTACCACCATCGCTTGGGTCACCCCAACTTCCGTACACTTGCCGACATCGCTTCCAAGAAACTTCTTCTTGGCCTCTCGTCGGCGCTTCCTCCACCAACAGACTCACCTGCACCCACCTGCCTGGACTGCACCAAGAGCAAGCTCAGGCTGCAGCCGCACCCTTCCTACACATCCGTCGCAGCTGCTCCGCTGGACCTAGTGCACATGAATGTCTGGGGCCCAGCTCCTGTCGCATCCCGAGGCTGTCATCGGTACTTTCTTACACTAGTCGATGACCACTCGCGGTACGTTTCTGTGCACCTCCTGCATACCTGATGTCATCATGGCGTGGGTGCGCCAGGCTCAAGTCACGTTCGGCACTCCTCTGAAGTGCCTCCATTCTGATGGCGGGGGAGAATTTCGCAATGGCAAACTCGATAACTTCTGTGCGGCCCAAGGGATTCGGCAAACCTTCACGCTCCCCAAAAGCCCGCAGCAGAATGGCATTGCAGAGAGCCGCAACCACACCTTGGTTCAGATCGCTTGCTGCCTCCTCAGTCACGCCAACGCACCACGGTCACTCTGGGGATATGCCCTCTTCCATGCGGCACTCCTCTACAATCTTTATCCGCATCCCCACCGGCCCGACACCACACCTACCGCTCTCTGGCTTGGGGTCACGCCTTCCGCCCGCTCTCTACGCGTCTGGGGGTGTACCGCGTATGTATTGCTAAGCCCCCACACGCGCAGGAAGCAAGGTGGCAAGCTTGGTCCCAAAACCTAGACCTGCATGTACCTGGGGCACAACTCCGACTCCCCAGACTACTTATTCCTCAACCCAATCACCAGACAGCTGATTCGCAGCCGTGATGTCGTCTTCGATGAGACACGCCCATTCCACTCTGCGACCACGGGCGAGCCTCCTCCACCTCCCCCGACGCTTGTTTGGGCAGACTTCGATGCCCCACCTCCGGCCGCTGCCCCTTCTCCGAGGCCTTCTCCGTCCGGCGTGTCTCACCCGGCATCCCCAGTATCCTCCGCAGCGGCACCTCCTCCTGCTCCGCCTTCCCCGCGCGTCGAGCCCGGCTCACCAGTCTCCTATCGGAGGCGCCCAGTCCCTCCGGTCCCACCGCAGCCGCCTTCGTCTCCGGTCTCTAGTCGCACTCGTTCCAAGGGACCGGCTCCGCCTCTCGCCTGGGGACCAGCCGGCTTCTCCATCCGGTGTTCGGTCACCCCGCCTCCTCCCGCCGGGGGTGATGTCCCCTCCATCCGTATTCCGCCCCGTGCACTTCTGGAGGACAGGCATGAGGAGCTGTTTGACCTTCACGCGGTCTGCCAATTTCTCTCTCACATCTTCACCGAGAACCCGACCATTCCCACTCCTCGCACAAAAGAGGAAGCTCTCTCGGGGCCTTATAAGGAGTGGAAGGCAGCAATGGATGTGGAGAACGAGGCGTTCATTCGCAACAACAGCTTTGACGATGTTGTTCCCCCTTCCAGTGTCAACATTGTCGGCGGAAAATGGATCTTCCGAGTCAAACAACTCCCAGGCGAAGCTCCACTGTTCAAGGCACGATACGTGGTGAAGGGTTTCACCCAGAAGGAGTATCTTGACTTCTTGGAAACATTCTCGTCCACGGCCAAGATCCCGACTGTGCGCGCTCTCCTTGATATAGCCGCTCGCGGCAACTTCGACATCAAGTCCATGGACGCCTCCTCCGCCTTTCTCCAAGGCCAGCTCAAGGAGGATGTTCACATGGAACGCCCACCGGGGTTTCCTGGCACTTACCCTGCCAACACAGTGTGGAAGCTGAAGCGCCCAGTGTATGGCCTCAAGCAGGCTCCTCGTGAGTGGCACAACAAGGTGAAGGAAGTCCTCCTCACACTTGACTTCCATCCCTCTGCCTCAGATTCCAGTCTCTTCGTTCGTCACTCCTCCGAGCCCTTCTACATCCTCGTCTACGTCGACGACTTCATTCTAGCCGCCAGAGATCCAGCCGACATGGCAGCTGTCCAGTCTGCTCTCAGCTCTGCCCTTCTCATGAAGGATCTTGGTGACCTCAAGAACTACCTGGGGATGGAGATCACTCGTGACCGCCAGGCTTGCACGATCACCCTCTCCCAGGAGTCCTACATCGACAACCTTCTCAAGCGGTTCGACATGGACTCCAGTAAATCTTTCTCCACTCCACTCCCACTACAGCATCAGCTCACGGCCCCTCCAGTTCCTTCTCCTGACGCCTGCAAGGACCCGTACCCTGAGCTAGTCGGTTCACTCATGTATGCCATGATGTGCACTCGACCAGACTTGGCTTACCCGGTTAGTGTCCTCTCTCGGTACGTCTCCCCCGGACGCTACACTGCCTCGCATTGGTCTGTGTTGGTGCATATTCATTTGCACGTCATCCTGTCGTCTGTTCGCATCATTTCGTTTGCATGTGTTTTGTGTGCTACGTTGTTTGTATGGTTTGTTGGGTTTGCATGTCTTTGCATGTTCATCTTGTGCTTGTGCAGATGTGCTTGGATTGTGCATGACATCGAGCACATTCCAACGAGCCAAGAATTGTTGGAATCGGAGCACATATGAAGAAGTTACGAAGAAATGTTTGATGGATTTGTTACAACTCATTGGAAGTCCTTGTCAGCTGCTACACCAAAGTTGGAGAGCCCTATAACGAGGAGGGACCAGCATGTGTGGGACTTTTGTCCCCACCTTGCAGCTGCAGCATTTGGGGTTTGGAGGCCAACCTGGCACAGTGTGAATTTTGTCTTGCCAGGCTGGCTGAACCTGAGGATGGGGAGTCAAAACTTTGACTCTTGTCATGTTCTTGACCATGGGCCTCCAGGGTCCTTCCCTTTCATCCTTCCCTTCCTACCCCACCTTCCAACTGTGCTTCAATGCCTTTTCTATCATGCCTCTGATCTTGTAAGCTTCAATGATAGTGACTCTGAGGACTGTCAACTTCTTCTAGGGCAGATTACCCCCCAGTGCGCCAAACGCCATAGCTCGCTCGTTAAGCTACGGAATCGAGTGATTCAACTTTCAGTGGAAAGCTGACGCTGCCAGCTACAACATATCCGATTTTCAGATCGTTTCACCGATTGGAGTTTTGGATATAGCTATTCGAAGGTCGCGAGTTTTCTGGGCGTTGCAGAAATTTCCAAGGAGCCATTGAATCATCTGCTTATAGCCTTCTCTAACCAACAGTCTGCAGCCAAGAGGGTCCTCCGCTATCTACAAGCCACCAAGTACCACATCCTCACTCTTGGTGGTACCTCTCCAGTCAAGCTCGAGGGATACACAGACTCCTCATGGGCCGATGACCAGACTGACAGACGCTCCTCCCAAGGGTACTGCTTCACCCTTGGTAGCGGAGTCATCAGCTGGCGCTCCACTCGGTCCTCTGCAGTCTCCCTGTCGTCCTGTGAGGCCGAGCTCTACGCGGGCACAATGGCTGCTCCAGAGGCACGCTGGCTCTCCTTTCTCCTCGCTGAGTTAGGCTACCCCCAGCAGTCGCCCACCCTGTGGTGTGTTAGAAATAGACTGCAAATACCACTTTTGTATTTGCACTTTTATATCCTAGTTTAGGTTGTGAATGTTCTAGTGGGTTGGGGTGTACTCACAAATCCCAACCTCACCCAATTGTGATCCCCCCAATCTCCAATTACCCAATTGGAGATTCCGGAGATCCCAATGGGGATTCCCTCCAATTCCCCCTTCATCCATTCACTCTCACCTTGCCATGTACTTATAGAGCCTTGGGCTCCTTACCTAATCAATCATTTCAACTCTATTTCTTACACAGTATGCCAAACAACACGCCAAACATGCCACACAACATGCCAAACATGCACCTGATATAAGTCGTACTATTTCCTCGTCTCCTTGTTGTAAAGAATCTGGAGGCTAGCAGCCAAAAGAGAGTGGATGTTTTATGCAGGTTGTACATGCATGTGAAAATAAAGCACAAGACTGGGAGGATTGACGAAAGGGAGTCGGGGGATTGAGTTAGGATGAGGGAAGGGAGCAGGGGGAACAAGGGAAGGGAGTGGGTGGAATGAGGTAAAGGAGTGGAGGGATGGAGGG